ATCTTCAGAGGCATGTGCAGATGTGCGCCATTAGTAGAAACACATGTTGCAAGCTGAAGGCGCTCTGCTAATCAGCTGGGTGGCATTTGAATCTTTTTCTGGGTGGCTGCCCAAGTGCTCAGCTTACAGGGAATGGTGATGTGGAAGTTATAATAGTGCCACTTTATTAAATGGTCCAGTTCACATAATAAACTTGATATCCTTGTCCCTACTGAAAAGGTTTTGTAAAGTGTGAAAACAAAACACATTAAAGGTGCTGTTAGGTTTAAAAATATTTTCTTAACTACCTTAAATCAATGTTAAATGTTGGATTTTATTTTTTCCCCATTTTTAATTGACTGTTTACTGCTCTGTTTACTTTCCCGGCTCTCAGTCTGGTTAATGAATAGATTAGTGTGTTTTACTTTAATTTAAAAGTCTTTCAACTTCATTTTTTAAGATCTTGTGCCTCTAGTTCAGTGTTGCAATGTTTTATTTGCAAACACTGAAGAAGATGCTTATTTAAATAACTATTTCTGTTTGGAATGGAGAAACAAAGTAATGGAAAAATTTCTGTTTTGCCATATTTGACCCCCGAGTTAAAGCACAAACTTTGGTATAAAGAGCAAACTGTGAGGAAAATGGTGTGAAGGGGCTACTCTAAGGCTATGTCTGTACTGCAGCCTTCTTCGCAAAAGCTTACGCAAATGAAGCGCAGAGTAGTATAACGCCACCCTTCATTTGCATAATTAATTAGCAGCCATTTTTGCTCAAGAGGCTTTTGCACACTAAGGAGCTGTGTAGACGGCTCCTTTTTGCACAACACCCCTCCCTACCGCCCAAAAGCTGTTCTTCCTGAAAAAATGAGGAAGAACAGCTCTTGTGCAAGAGGGGATTTTCTGCAAAAAAGAGCTGTGTACACAGCTCCTTTTTGCACAAAAGCCTCTTGCGCAAAAATGGTTGCTAATTAATTATGCAAATGAAGTGCGGTGATATTCTACTCCACGCTTCATTTGCATAAGCTTTTGCGAAAGAAGGCTGCAATATAAATGTAGCCTAAGACAAGGAAATGAGAGCAAATACTAAAATGCTGGGCTGTTAGTAGAAGAGCTAGGTGAATATTGCAATCATTTTCCTATTGTATACTGTTTCAAAACAATACATTTACTTTTACTATATTTGCTTTTGACAAGTATTCTAGCCATCGAGCATTATTTATTTGTTGGAAGGAAGTTTGCCAATTGTATAAGGTGATGAATATATTGCCAAGCCCAAGCACTAAAAAAATTATATTAGTAGTTCACCTTTTAGTTTATACATTTGAAGAAATGTCACTTTTTAAACATGTATGTGTTAGTGTGAGACTAAGAAAAATATATATTTTACAATATTGGAAATAACTGTTATCTCCTTACCAGACTTAGTGTGTAATTTAATATTAGCACTTTGATTAGCTGGAACCCTACTCTCACTGGTAAAATTGAAGGATCACTCTTACTAGGATATAACGATGATACATCAGAGAATATTCAAATATGTCCTTTGGCTATCTTTGCATGATACCTCATATAACCGATGTTTGCATTATTTCTGAGTGATTCTGGCATATTTATAGTATGGATGTGACAGAACAACCTTATTTCAATGACTGCTCCCACTCTGTCACCATGGTGCTGGAGCTCTGAAGATTTGCCTGATGTAGGTCAGATGTGCTCTCAGTTCTTTGAGGTGGTGATAGCATTAGTGTCTGCCTTTCTCACATGCAGAAGACAAAAGCACTAACTGGTTTCTGAGGTAGTACTCTGAATATTGTTGGTAAACTCTGTTTTATTTTTTCAAGTTGGCAGATTTTTAGGCTAGAGCCTTTTCTTTTTCTGTGTTTTTGGAGAGCACATTCTTTCAAGGTGCAAACTAGCTATCTACTCAAGACAGATGAGGTTAAATCCATCCTCTGATCCTCCTCCATCAAATCCTGGGCTTTGGCAGGTGCTCAGGCTCTAATCTAGTGACTTTCACGTTCCAACCTGTATTGATTTTAGTATCTTCATGGGGTAGCCGAGTCAGTCTGTACAGGATAAACTTTAAAAACAACAAATGGTCTGGTAGCACTTTATAGACTAACAAAACATATAGATGGTATCATGAGCTTTCATGGACACAGCGCACTTCTTCAGATGACAGGAGTTTTGAAAGTCCAGATCCAAGAATAAATAAGGGGAAGGGGAGAAGGAAAAAATGGAGGAGAGGAAGAAAAAAGAGACAGTGAGTAGGTAAGCTACAGAGGGATAGCCAAGTTAATCTATAACAGGAAAAACTTAAACAACAAATAGTCTAGTAGCACCTTAAAGATTAGATGGTTCTTATCAGCCTAGGGTAACTATTAGTTTGCACTTGGAAAGGAAGATGACCAACACTAGATTCTACAGACATCAGGGTGCCCACGAAAGCTCATGATACCATCTACATGTTTTGTTAGTCTTTAAGGTGCTACTTGAGCAGAGCAGTTAGACATATTCTAAATTTATCCCAAGACACTAAATAATACAAAACTTTTTTAAAGTGATACAACCCCAATTGCAAGATACTCCAAGTACACACTGAGTCTCTCTAGCCTAGCATCCTAGGGACCTGACTGGTGCCGAACCAAAGAATTTGCCAAACCATGGGAGGTTAATATTGTCTAGCAGCAATATCAACACTTCCAGTGCTTGCTGGATTCTTAAAAGACATTTGGGGGTAAATTAGAACTGTGTAGAATCTGGTGTTGGTCATCTTCCTTTCCACGTGCAAACTAATGGTGCTTATCAGCCTCTTGTAACTATTTAGTCTTTAAGGTGCTACTAAACTATTCGTTATTTTTTGAGTTTTTCCTGTTACAGACTAACTCAGCTACCCATTGGATGCTGCTCAAGAACTGTCTGTGTCACTCTGGGCACGTCTAGACTTTCACTTTTGAAAGATATGCAAATTTGCACCAAATTTGCATATCTTCTTTCGATTGCTTAAATCGAAAGTAAGTAGTGTAGATGTGGTTCTTTCGAAAAAGGGGTTTTTTCCTCGAAAGAACCGCGTCTAGACTACTTAATTTTTTTCAGAAGAACCTCTTTCGAAAGTGAAAGCAAGTCTAGACGTGCCCTTTGTATAGCATGTCATAATTGCTGGAGTAATATACAGTAAATTGCTGGAGTAATATACAGTAAAAGTAATATACAGTAGATAGTTTATTTTAATATTTCTTTTGTGCAATATAAGTGTCTTTTCAGTGCCGACAGTTTTTTTTTTAAATGCAGCCAGCAAAACCATTTTGAAAAGTCTAATTCAAAGCAGAATCTACCTAATCCTACACACACACACACACACACACACACACACACACACACACACACGTGTGTAAATTGATAGGTGGAAAAATATCTAAGGTGTATGCTCCTCTTTTTCCTCTGCACACAAAATATCAGTTATTGGACTGTTCCTATGCATCTGTTGGCTTAACTTGCTCATTAACTTAATGAAGTGAAATGATTAGTTTTTTTGAATGCAAGTCCTGGAAAAAATTGATTTGATTTTTGAGGTCTCTTGTGAAGTAAATGTCTTGAGGCCCTTTCAGTTAAGTGCAGTTGATACCCTTTTTTTCTACTTTGCAAACACAGACATTTTTGTTTACTGACTAGGGGGAGATTTTTTTATTCCTTCAAATTGTAACTGAAATTCTTTCATAGGTAGAAAATGGAGCAAATAAATTGGATGTGTGAATAATTCAGTGTGCGCAACCCTATTAAGAACCTATGCTGGAATCCAAATAGCTGTCTGAAGAGTCTCAGATTAAAGGCTCATTTTCAGACTCTATTGCTGCTGTTCACAATATTGTGTTTAACCTTTCCACTGTTGTTGGAGCATGTACATGGTCTGGTTGTAATTAAGTTGTACATCTGCCAAGTGTATATACCAGGTTTCCCCTTCAGCACTGGAGAGAAGCATACTTACTGAATAAACCTGTTATTTCACTTTGGAGAAAGAGTTCATTTCAAGTACATTCACATAAAGCAATTTTATATTTGGAGTTCTGGCCTAGCAATGGAATAATTCACCAAATCCTCATTTTAATCAAATAAAAGTTATTTTCCACTGATACTTTCTATTCACAAGAGGAAAGTAATGAAGCTGAAATGTTTTATGAGTCCAAATTCTATTAAGATCCTTCTTGGCTCATTTAGTACTTGTCTAGGCCATGGAATGTGACTCTTTTCTCCATTAGTGGTGTTAATCCCTTTGTATCCAGGTTAAGGATTGCCGATGCAAAATATTTGATCTGTTGAATTTAAGTTCCAGCACCCCGGGAACTTTGTCCCTAGCAGTTGGAAAATGTCATCACTGTTGTGCATGGGTTGGCAGCAGCCTGTGTCTGTGGGGGACCTGGGCTCACCGTGGACAGAGGCTGCTCCCCAACACCAGCCCCCGTCTGCTGGGGGCCAAGTTCCCCGCAAATGAGGGCTGTGCTGGCATCCTGCTTGCTTCCTTCCAACCCCTCCCCGTGCTGCTGCCTCTGATACAGAGGCAGTAGCATGGAGTCAGAGGGGGGGGGGGGGGGGGGGCTGCTTTTAAGCCGTCTCTCCCGGAGCACTGGCATCCCTAATTGCAAACATGCATAGCACTTAGCACAGCATTGTCTTGCTGCTGATTGGAGCTTTGGCAGCTACCACAGTAGAAATAAATAGTAACAATGATGTAGTTTGCTCTTGCACAGCAACAGGATTTCCGGAGCTCTTAATGGGTAGCTTTAGAGATGGGCTGGAACATTAGACTTAACTTCCCCAAAGTACAAGGAACTCAAGTTCTAGATTCCGCTTTTGCTGCTCCAATCCTTGTCTAAGTGGCATGAACTTTTTGGCTTGATTTGCTTTTTCCTGGTACAATTTATCCGGTCAGAAGTTAGTGATGTGGGATTAGGGGAGAAATATTTAGAAAATGAACTTTTAAAAAATTATATTGATAAGTTTTTTTTTTTTTGTGTGTGTGTGTATTTCAGATTTTTCTTCTTGCCTGTCCCCCATGTCGTGGTGCCATGGTTCTGTTCAGGTAACATCCGTTCTTTCTCTTACTGCTTTCCTGTCTATTTGCACAGTGTATTTAGGTTGCAATACTTTGACCTCTGCCATGTTTTAAAATTATATCTCTGAGCTTTGTGTATCATGCTCTGTAGCACTGAGCCATAAAGAAATACTGGATGGAACGAAATGTAGGCTATTGTCTGAAAGTGAACATGACTTAAATTAGGGCTGCTTGTGCTTAAACTTATTTCTGTGTTTTTTGATGGTGTTTGATCTCTTTAACAAGAGGCAGTGGCTTAGCAAGCTTAGCTACACAAGTACCCTCTTTCTGTTGTGTGTACACACACACCCCATCCATGCCTCTGTAAACCCTACTCCAATTCATCTGAGGAAGAGGATTTTACCCACAAAAGCTTATACCCTAATAAATCTGTTAGGCCTTGTCTATGCTGTAAACCTCATTTCACGAGGCATAAGGGAGCGGTTGACAAAGGCTTCCCTTGTCGACCGATCTGCATCTTGACTCATGCGTTGTGTCGACGATCAGCTGAGCCGACACAGCACAGCGGCCATTTTTATTTTAATGAAGCCGGGGATATTTAAATCCCGGCTTCATTGACTATGTCAGGTAGCCTATTTTACATGCTTCTGTCAGCAGAGACATGCAATCTAGACATACCCAGGGAGGGTACGGCTAGACTGCAGGAGTTTTTCAGGATTCCAGAGATATCCCAGAAAAACTTGTCTGCATCCAGGGATGCGTTTGTTCTTCCGTGTTTTTTTTTTTTTTTTTTTTTAAGTGGAAGATCAAACATGCTCTTTCGGTAATTCCTGTAGTCCTCTTTCCACAAGGAATAAGGGGGCTTCCAAAAGAAGGGATTTTTCTGACATTTGGTCCAGTCTAGACAGGCCAAATGTTGGAAAAACCTCTTCCTACAGAAGAATGGGGGGGGGGGG